AGAGTCCAGATTCCAGTGAGACTCGGGCCTGACTCTAACCAGCTCATGGCCTGGAAACTTTCCTCCCTTCTACATTTTCTTGTCCAGGGTAAGCACAGGTGCAGAGGAAAATGACCATCCCTGGTCACACACAGTGGCTCATGCCTGTAATCCCAGCACTTTGGGAGACTGAAGCAGGAAGATCGCTTGAGCCCAGGAGTTGAAGACCAGCCTAGGCAACATAGCAAGACCCCATCTCTAGAAAAAAAAAAAAAAAAACCTCCCCAAATTAGCCAGGTGTGGTGGCGCACGCCTGTTGTCCCAGCTACTCAGGAGGCTGAGGTAGAAGGATCACTTGATCCGGGAGGTGGAGGCTGCAGTGAGCTGTGATTGTGTCACTGTACTCCAGTCTGGGCAACAGAGTGAGACCTTGTCTTAAATAAAAAAAAATAAAAATAAATAAAAAAAAAAAAGGAAAAGAAAATAACCCTGGAGGAGTGCTACTCCTCCTCACTCCTTTTGCCTCTCCTCCTCTCATCTGTTCTCTTCCCCTTTTTCCTTCTCCCATCTTCTCTCCTCCCCTCCCGCCTTCCCCTCTCTTCATCTCCTTTTCATCAGACTTGGAAGGCAGCAGTCACATTGACTGAGTTTGTCATGTACTGTATGGTCTGAAGCATGTCATTCAACTTTTCTCAGACTCAGATTTCTCAGCAGTAAAATGGGGAAGTTATTTGTAAGGTGGCATAGATGATTAAATGGGAGCATGTATATAAAGTGTTTCAGCCCGGTGCCTGGCATGCGGTGGGTGCTGAGAATGACAGTAGCTGACTTGTAATGACAGTAGCTGGCTACCGGCTACCGTGTAAAGTACTGTAGCTTCTATGCATAGGCACGATTTAGTCCTCACAATGAGCTATGCAGAAGCTGGGAAAATAGCAGGGCAGGCTGCCCGGTTTCAGATCCCAGCTCAGGATCTTTTCGTTGTTTTTTTTTGTTTGTGTGTTTTGTTTTTGTTTTTGTTTTTGAGAGAAAGTCTCGCTCTGTTGCCCAGGCTGGAGTGCAGTGGCACCATCTCGGATCACTGCAACCTCCGCCTACTGGTTTCAAGCGATTCTCCCGCCTCAGCCTCCTGAGTAACTGGGATTACAGACATGCACCACTACACCTGGCTAATTTTTGTATTTTTAGTAGGGATGGGGTTTCGCCATGTTTGCCAGGCTGGTCTCGAACTCCTGACCTCAGTTGATCCACCCCCCCCCCGCTTCGCCTCCCAAAGTGCTGGGATCACAGTCATGAGCCACCATGCCTAGCCGCTCTTGGTTTAAGTTTTAATTTTCAGAGGCCCATCCAGAGGGAAGAAAATAAAGTAGCTAAAGAAGCAAACACTGGCCGAGCATGGTGGCTCATGCCTGTAATCCCAGCACTTTAGGAGGCCAAGGCAGGGGGATTGCTTGAGGTCAGGAGTTCAAGACCAGCCTGGGCAACATAGCAAGACCCCATCTCTATAGAAAGTAAAAAGATTCCTTTCCATAGAACATAGCTAATTTTTTTTAAATACAAAAATTAGCTGAGTGTGGTGTGCACACCTGTAGTCCCAGCTACTTTGGAGGCTGAGGCAGAGGCTGAGGAGCATTGCTTGAGTCCAGAAGTTTGAGTCTGCAATGAGGTAGTATCACGCCATTGCATTCCAGCCTGGACAACAGAGTGAGACCTTGTCTCAAAAGAATAAGAGGAAGAAGCCTGGCGCAGTGGCTCACGCCTGTAATCCCAGCACTTTGGGAGGCCGGGGTGGGCAGATCACCTGAGGTCAGGAGTTCAAGACAGCTGACCAACATGGAGAAACCCCATCTCTACTAAAAATACAAAATTAGCCGGGTGTGGTGGCACATGGCTGTAATCCCAGCTACTCGGGAGGCTAAGGCAGGAGAATCGCTTGAACCTGGAAGGCAAAGGTTGCGGTGAGCTGAGATTGTGCCATTGCACTCCAGCCTGGATAACAAAAGCGAACCTCCATCTAAAAAAAAAAAAGAATAAGAGGAAGAAGGAGGAAGAGGAGAAGGATAAGTTCTGAAAATATGAATGAGGATGTCTAAATTGTATTCAGTGGTGATTTTTCCCCCCTTTTTAAAAAAAAGCCTTTGGGCCGGGCACGGTGGCTCACGCCTATAATCCCAGCACTTTGGGAGGCCGAGGTGGGCGGATCACCTGAGGTCGGGAGTTCGAGACCAGCCTGACCAACATGGAGAAACCCCGTCTCTACTAAAAATGCAAAATTAGCCGGGTGTGGTGGCACATGCCTGTAATCCCAGGTACTTGGGAGGCTGAGGCAGGAGAATCACTTGAACCTGGGAGGCGGAGGTTGCGGTGAGCCAAGTTCACGCCATCGCAGGCCAGCCTGGGCAACAAGAGCGAAACTCCGTCTCAGGAAAAAAAAAAAAAAAGCCTTTCAGTTCCTTAGGAAAATGAGTTTATGTTTTCTATATCTGCTTAACATTATACAGACAAACAAATTCAGAAAATATGATTTAAACATTTTTATTCACTTCCTGACTGTTTAACCTTGGACAAGGTACCAAACCTCTCTGTGCCTCTGTTTTCTGATCTGTAAAATAGAGGTACAGTAATAATCCCTACCCACAAGGTTGCTTTGGATAAATGACTTGATTTTTTTTTTTTTTTTGAAACGGAGTCTCGCTCTGTCGCCCAGGCTGGAGTGCAGTGGCCGGATCTCAGCTCACTGCAAGCTCCGCCTCCCGGGTTTCCGCCATTCTCCTGCCTCAGCCTCCCGAGTACCTGGGACTACGGGCGCCTGCCACCTCGCCCGGCTAATTTTTTGTATTTTTTAGTAGAGATGGGATTTTACCGTGTTAGCCAGGATGGTCTTGATCTCCTGACCTTGTGATCGCCTCCCAAAGTGCTAGGATTACAGGCTTGAGCCACCGCGCCCGGCCATGACTTGATATTTTTAATTAATTTTTTTAGAGACGGAGTTGCACTCTGTGGCCCAAGGCTGGAGTGCAGTCTCATGATCAAAGCTCACTGCAGCCTCAGCCTCCTGTCCTCAAGTGATCCTCCTGCCTTGGCCTCCCAAAGTGCTGGTACTACAGGTGTGCACCACCACACTGGACTTTTTTTTTTTTATTTTAGACACTGAAAATGTAGATCAATGCTTATACCTGTAGTATAAGCAGCATTTAATGATCTGACACTATTATTAACCCAACATCACAGATTAAGAAATTGAGGCTCATAAAGGCTTTGCCCACGATCATTCAGAGAAAGGAAGAGCCTAAATTTAGCATTTTTAAAACTGCAGCTTCACTTTAGGGGCACACATTTTAAGAGGATGCCTCGAGAACGTTTACATATGTATACACTGGTGATCAATATAAGGGCATTTCCAACACTTCAGAAGGTTCCCTGGGGTCTCCTCCCAGTCAATATCTTCCCCAAGTTAAACACTGTTCTGATTTTTCATGATAGATGTTTTGCTTTTCTGAATTTGATGTAAACAGAGCCATTCAGTGTGTTTCTTTATTTGTTTCTTTATTTCAGCAATAGGGAAATGAAATGTTTCTTTGATTATCTGTGGACTCTGAATTTGAAGTCCATGTACTTCCACGGTAGAAATGGCCTTCTTTTTCTTTCTTTTTTTTGTTTTTGAGACAGAGTCTCGCTCTGTTGCTCAGACTAGAGTGCAGTGGTACAATCTTGGCTCACTGCAACCTCTGCCTCCTGGATTCAAGCAATTCTCCTGCCTCAGCCTCCTGAGTAGCTGGGATTACAGGTGTGCGCCACTATTTTTAGTAGAGATGGGGTTTCACTATGTTGGTCAGGCTGGTCTCAAACTCCTGACCTCGTGATCCACCCACCTTGGCCTCCCAAAGTGCTGGGATTACAGGCGTGAGCCACCGCGCCCGGCCGAAATGACCTTCTTTACCTTTTATCCTACACTGCCTACAATAACTACTTAGGACTGCTTTTTTGGGGGGGCAGGGTCTTGCTCTGTTGCCCAGGATGGAGTGCAGTGGTATGATCATAGCTCATTACAGCCTTGAACTCCTGGGCTCAAGCAATTCTTTCCATTCTTTCGCTTCATCCTTTCAAGTACCTGGGACCACAGGTATGTGTCATTGCACTGGACTATTTTATTATTATTATTTTTGAGACACAATCTCGCTCTGTCGCCCCAGGCTGGAGTGCAGTGGCGGGATCTCGGCTCACTGCAAGCTCCGCCTCCTGGGTTCACGCCATTCTCCTGCCTCAGCCTTCCCAGTAGCTGGGACTACAGATGCCCGCCACCACGCCCGGCTAATTTTTTGTATTTTTAGTAGAGACGGGGTTTCACTGTGTTAGCCAGGATGGTCTCGATCTCCTGACTTCGTGATCTGCCCGCCTCGGCCTCCCAAAGTGCTGGGATTACAGGCATGAGCCACCGCGCCTGGCCTACTATTCTTATTTTTTGTAGAGACAGGGGTTCCACTATATTGCCCAAACTGGTCTTGAACTCCTGACCTCAAGTGATCCTCCCACCTTGGCCTCCCGAAGTGCTGGGATTTCAGGCCTGAGCCACCGCACCTGCTGGTGTTTTTTTTTTTGTTGTTGTTGTTGTTTGTTTTTGTTTTTTTTGAAACAGAGTCTCTCTCTGTCGCCCAGGCTGGAGTGCAGTGAGGAGATCTCGGCTCACTGCAACCTCTGCCTCCCGGATTCAAGTGATTCTCCTGCCTCAGTCTCCCGAGTAGCTGGGATTACAGGTACCCGCCATCACGCCTGGTTAATTTTTGTATTTTTATTAGAGACGGGGTTCCCCATGTTGGCCAGCATGGTCTTGAACTCCTGACCTCAGATGATCCACCCACCTTGGCCTCCCGAAGTGCTGGGATTACAGGCGTGAGCCACCACACCGGGCTGTGCAGCTGCTCTGATTTCCCCCTCCCTCCTTTTCCTTCTTTGTACACGTCCCTGAAACGTAGCTGTCCATCAAGTCACCAATGGATTCTAACTGGCCAATTCTAGGCAAGGCTTGCTGGAACCGCCCCCCAGCCCCCATAGGAAGCAAATGATAGGGCACATGTATCAACTGGCTGGCCAATGGGAGGATGGCATCTTCTAGCCAGTCCACCAACGGGAGAGCATACTCCTGCCCTCCCCAACTGCCTCTGCAGAGTAGCCTCGTGCCTTTGCAGTTTGACACCTTCCTTTTGTCCCAAGAAGGTCCCTTGGAAGCCACTTCAGGAAGGCAGGATGACAGGGCCTGATTCCCTTCATCCTGCCTGTGCCTGCCCCAAACCTCTGCTCCCCAGAGTAGATGGGAGGGGAGGTCTTTCTAAACAAAAATGATATCTATGTAAATATATGTAGTTTCAGCCTTGCGCCTGTTATTTCTTTTGTTTTCTTTTTTAATGGAACAACAATCGCTTTGGCTTTATTTTGTTTTTTCAAGGAATGTCATTTTAAAGTTCCAACTATCTTGACAACCCCCTCCCTTCCTTTTTCCAAGTTTTCGGTGCTGAGGAGAAACATCAACCTTCCTTTCTGTCTTCCAACCTGTCCCTTAGAGGTGAGGCCTGGGGAGAAGGGAGAGGTGACATAAGGTGGGCGGCGGGGGGGGCATGCAGAAGATGGAAAAGGGTGGAGTTTAAGAGTAGGAGGGGCTGGGTGCAGTGGCTCATGCCTGTAATCTCAGCACTTTGGGAGGCCAAGGCAGGCAGATCACCTAAGGTCAGGAATTCGAGATCATCCTGACCAACATAGTAAAGTCCTGTCTCTCTTAAAAACACAAATATTAGCCGGGCACGGTGGCGGGCACCTGTAATCCCATCTACTCAGGAGCCTGAGACACGAGAATTGCTTGAACCCAGGAGGTGGAGGTTGCAGTGAGCCAAGATCATGCCACCACACTCCAGCCTGGGTAACAAGAGCAAGACTGCATCTCAAAAAAAAAAAAAACAAAGAAGAAGAAGAAGAAAAGAAATTGTCTAAATTGGGTGTGTAAAACAAAAAATTAGGATAATTAGGATGTCAAATTGCCCCGGATGATGAATATTAAAAGAGTAATAAGGATGCAAAAGAGCTTAGAGAAGAGGTTTGCCTGGTGGCTTTGGATGGCCACAGATGGATGGGTCTCTTGGGCCTTGCCTCATTGGGGGTGAAGAAGGCTGCCGGGGGGTCTGAGGGTGTTGTGTTGAGGTGTTCTCATGGCCGTCTTTTTCTGCCTTCTTGGCTGCAGGCAGGCATGGCCCTGCTATTCGCAGGGGGTTGCGTCTTCTTCCCGTTGTGCTTCACTGTCCTGCGCTGGGGCTTGCAGAACCACGCCAGCCTGCAGATGGAAAAACAAGAGGCTGTCCTGGTAGCATCCAAGTAAGAGGACCAGGGTGCGGGTGTCCTTCCTGGGGCCACGGCTCGTGGAACTGACCTCTTACTTTCAGAATGAGTTCGTGGTGAAAACAGAAGCAGAGTGTGGGGTGGAGCTGGGATTTGGAGTCAAAAGACACCAGCAGGCTGGGCACGGTGGCTCACGCCTGTAATTCCAGCACTTTGGGAGGCTGAAGCAGGTGGATCACCTGAGGTCAGCAGTTCAAGACCAGCCTGGCCAACATGGTGAAACCCCGTCTGAACTAAAAATACAAAAATTAGCCAGGTATGGTGGCAGGTGCCTGTAATCTCAGCTGCTCTGGAGGCTGAGACGGAAGAATCGCTTGAACTCAGGAGGTGGAGGTTGCAGTGATCTGAGATCATGCCACTGTACTCCAGCGTAGGCGACAGAGTGATACTCTGTCTTAAAAAAAAAAAAAAAAAAGACACCAACAGTGGTGTCTTTTGTGAGTCATTTAATTTCTCTGAACTTCAGATCCCTCACTGGTAAATGGGCTTGATAATAACCCCCACTCTCTTTCATGGAGATGTTGTATGAAGATCATGTGAATCCGTGCCTGTAGAGCAGGGGCTGCAAACTCCTGCAGATAATATGAGGGATGTGGGCTCTGTGGGGAGGATGTGGGCAGGAGGACTCACCTTCTCTGCTGAGGGCCTGTGCTGCTCGGCTCCAGCCACTGATAAAGTTATACAGTTAGAACGTGGGCCAATGTTTTCAGTTATGATTCTTTGTCATTGTTGTTGTTGAGACAGGTCTTGCTCTGTTGCCTAGGCTGGAGTGCAGTGGCACTATCATGGCTCACTGCAGCCTTGAACTTCCAGGCTCAACCAATCCTCCTGCCATAGCTGGGACAACAGGAAATGCGCCACCACACCTGGCTAATTTTTTTTTTTTTTTTGGTAGAAACAGGGTCTCACTATGTTGCCCAAGCTGGTCTTGAACTCCTGGGCTCACAGGATCCTCCCTTCTCAGCCTCTGAAGTGCTGGGATAACAGGCATGAGCCACTGTACCCGGCCTCTTCTTCTTTTGTTTTGAGACAGGGTCTCACTCTGTCACCCAGGCTGAAGTACAGTGACACCACCATGACTCACTGCAGCCTTGACCTCCCTGACAAGTGATTCACCCTGAGAATCAGGCTGACTCCCAAGTTGCTGGGACTACAGATGTTCACCACCATGCCTGGCTAATTTTTGTACTTTTAGTAGAGACGGGGTTTCTCCATGTTGCCCAGGCTGGTCTTGAACTCCTGGGCTCAAGTGATCCTCCTGCCTCGGCCTCCTGAGTAGCTGAGACTACAGGTGCATGTCATTGTGGTGGGCTTCCTCCCAGTTCTTTTTATTCTTTTTTTTTGAGACAGAATCTCACTCTGTTGCCCAGGCTGGAGTTCAGTGGCTCAATCGTGGCTCACTGTAACCTCCACCTCCCAAGTTCAAGCAACATTCCTGCTTCAGCCTCCCGAGTAGCTGGTATTACAGGTGTGCGCCACTACATCTGGCTAATTTTTGTATTTTTAGTAGAGATGGGGTTTCACCATGTTGGCCAGGCTGGTCTCAAACTCCTGATCTCAGGTGATCTGCCCACCTCGGCCTCCCAAAGTGCTAGGATTATAGGCGTGAGCCACCACGCTCAGCCTCTCCCAATTCTTGAATACTGATAAGTAACTAAGAACTTATTTAAGAACTACTATACTGACAACTGCATACTGGCCAAACAAAACATGTCTGTGGGCTGGGTTGGGCCCTTGGGCTGCAGATCTATGACCTGTGTGACAAAGCTTACCATAAAAGCACACTATCAGCAAACCATAGGAGCGGGAGGCGGTACATGGAACACAGATTTTACTAGGGTGTCTACATGGATTTCCTGGCAGACAAAAAAGCCTGTCTCTACTCATCTGAAGTGAAACCACAGTTCCGTGACCAGCCTTGTAGTCCTCAATCTCGAGTAGTTACGGTGGCCGCCCATCACCCAGCCTCCTCAACCTCAGTCCTTTTTGCAGTTTTGCTCATGTGTGGCTTTGGGGTTATGCAACTATGATTTTTTTGTTTTTTGTTTTCTTTTGAGATGGAGTCTCACTCTGTCGCCCAGGCTGGAGTGCAATGGCACGATCTCAGCTCACTGCAACCTCCGCCTCCTGGGTTCAAGCGATTCTCCTGCCTCAGCCTCCCAAGTAGCTGGGACTACAGGCGCCCGCCACCACACCTGACTAATTTTTGTATTTTTAGAAGAGATGGGGTTTCACCGTGTTAGCCAGGATGGTCTCGATCTCCTGATCTCATGCTCCGTCAGCCTTGGCCTCCCAAAGTGCTGGGATTACAGGCGTGAGACACCGCGCCCAGCCACAACCATGGGTTTGAAACCCAGCTTTCTTGGCCGGGCGCGGTGGCTCACGCCTGTAAATCCAGCACTTTGGGAGGCCGAGATGGGCGGATCACGAGGTCAGGAGATCGAGACCATCCTGGCTAACACGGTGAAACCCCGTCTCTACTAAAAAATACAAAAAAACTAGCCGGGTGAGGTGGCGGGCACCTGTAGTCCCAGCTACTGGGGAGGCTGAGCCAGGAGAATGGCATAAACCCGGGAGGTGGAGCTTGCAGTGAGCTGAGATCTCGCCACTGCACTCCGGCCTGGGCAACAGAGCAAGACTCCGTCTCAAAAAAAAAAAAAAAAGAAACCCAGCTTTCCTCTGGGCATGGTGGCTCCCACCTGTAATATCAGCATGTTGGGAGGCAGAGGTGGGTGGATTGCTTGAGCCCAGGAATTTGAGACCAGCCTGGCCAACATGGCGAAACTTCATCTCTACAAAAAATACAAAAATTACCTGGGCATGGTGGTGTGCGCCCGTAGTCCCAGCTACTCGGGAGGCTGAGGCATGAGGATCATTTGAGCCTGGGGAGGTTGAGGTTGCAGTGAGCCATGATCGTGCCACTGTACTCCAGCCTGGGGGAGAGAATGAGACCCTATCTCAAAAAAACAAAACAAAACAAAACCCACAATATTTCTAAACCTGTTTCTTCTATAAAACAGGGATACCAAATAAGAATCAGTAGAAATCACCTGGTACTATGCCCAGCATGTAGTAGAAACTCAGAGAGCTGGATCCCCTTTCCCCCTCCAGTGAAGGGCTGAGGGCAGGAGCTAGGTCCGCTATTGTCTCTAAAACCGGCTCCAAATCGGCCTGAGACTTCCTGGGTGCTTTCCTACAGATCGCCGCTAGAGGGCAGCACAAAACAGCAAATCCCAGTCCCCGGCTTTTCTTCTGGGGAGGCGAGGAGTGGGCTCTGGCAGAGAAAGGCAAACCACAGGGTTGATTATTGAGCTTGGAGACCAAAGGAGTTTGCATAACAGGCCCTTGTCATGCTGAAGTCCACAGGACAGTTGGGATCAGGTGGGAGGGCAGAAGTCAAAGGAGGCAGTGCCTCTGGCTCCAGTCCCACAGCGCGACCCTGGCCCAGTCGCCAGGCCTCACTTTCTTTATGGGCCAGTGAGGAGCTTGCACCAGCCCACCCCGCAGTACTTTCCCACTCTGAAACTAGGCTGTTTGTGGAAGTTGCAGAGGAAGGGAAGTTAGGAGCTCCTAGAGAGCGGTAGGAATTTAGGGGCGGTCAGGAGGGGCTGGCTGTCTGAAGAATAGGGCCTGGGCATCCTAGGGCTCCCTGGGGCTTCCTGAGAGGCAGTGGCCCCCCGCCCCCCCACTCCCCCCTTCTTCCACTCCCTGCCCCTCCGACACCTGCAATGAGAGGGCTCTGCCACTTCTGAACTGGGTGACCTCAGGGAGCCTCAGGATCGTTGCTGGCCCTGTGGGAAGGACAGGCACAGCGCCCTCGGAGCTCCTGCAGCAGACGGGACATGGGCAGCCCTGCGGCACAGTCAGGTGCCCCCTCTGGCCAATGTCAGCTTCCTTCCCGACCATAGGGTGAGGGAGCCTCTGGGTCTGAGGATACTGTGTTGAGATATTTTTCCTCCCATCCCCTCCTTCAGTCTTCCTTCTGAGAAAGCACCACTTGCTCCCGCTCCCTCTCCTGGGGAAGCCTGTCTTTCGCTGGAGTGGGCACCCAAAGCTGGGACCCGGGGCAGGCCCCAGAGGGATGGCTTGGCGAGGGAGGAGATGCCAGGCATTTGCAAAGTGCTGATGGGAAACAGGGTCAGGCCCCTGTGGGGGCTCAGGGCCCCCTCCCAGCTGGCCAAGGAGCCCTAAGCCCCCTTCCTCCCCAAGAGAAGAGCTGGCCCCTGTCCCCAGCAGCCCCCTGTGCCGCCGCAGCTGCTGTTCCTTTAAGGGCCTCCCCCTCCCTCTTTCTCTGCTCCCCCCATCTCTGTCGCAGCCGAGGCTGTGGCTCAGAGCTGCATGGGGAGACGCCGCTGCAGGTCCGGTTTCTCGGTGTCTGGTCGGTGCCATCATTTCCCTGCCCCTCCCCCGCCCTCCCCAAGCTGGTCACTTCCCCTCCCCCTCCCCCTCCCCACCGAGGGGGCAGGGGGCTGGGCACGGAGTCTCTATGATGCCATGTGCGGTGTCTGTGCCGGGTGGCGGGGACCGGGGCGGCAGCGAGAGGAGGCAGTGGAGCTGGGAGAGCGGTGGTGACCGCTGACCGCTTGCCCGGCTACTCCTCCGCTCCCTGCTGCCTGCTCCTCCGCTCCCTCCTGCCTGCCTCCTTCCTTTGGGGCTGGCACCCAGACCCACCCCCACCCCCTCCCCGCCTCCTCGAGCCCTCCCAGCCTCTCACGTAAGCCTCCCCTCCCCACCTGCCTGGTGGCTCCCTCCCCTCCCCCATTTGCATCCTCCTCCTGTCCCCTCTTCCTCTCTGTCCTTCACCAAGCCATCCCCTCCTCGCCTCTCCCCATCCCTCACTGGCCTGCTCCTGCTCCCCTTCTCCCATCCTCCCCTCCCCCGTCTCTGCTCAACTGGCCCCCTCCTGACTCCCCAGTTTCATTGGACTCTCTGGCCCCATCCCGTCGCCGCCCTGTCCCCTTTGTGCCCCTTCCCATCGTTTTCTCCCTCCTTCCCGGGCTTGGCGTCCCTTCTCCACCCCTAACTCCTTCCGCTCAGCCTCCCTGACCCTTCACGGCCCGCCTGCCTCCCTGCCCAAGTCCTCAGCCACCATGCTGACCCCGATGGTGGCCGGGGGGGTGGTGTTCCCTGGACTCTTCCTCCTCTCCAAGAATACGCTCCAGCGGCTGCCCCAGCTGCGCTGGGAGGAGGCCGACGCGGTCATTGTCTCAGCCAGGTAAACCACTTTCCTTCCCCTCAGCTCCTCTCTGCTTCTTGGGCTTCTCAGGGAATGGAAAGGACCTGGCACTTCTCTGGACCCTCAGTGGCTGGGTATTGGGAGTTCCTATGGGGGTTGGGGGCTTTATCCCTAGGCTTCCTCTCTCCTCACTGCCTGCCTTGCTCACTGTCCTGGGAGACCTCGTCCAGCCCTGCCATCTGGTCTACTAGTGTTCAGCCTGCCTCTCTCTTCTTCCCGGTACACCCTCCCACCCTCCAAAACAGGGCCGGCATGCAGTGAAGACATTCCTGTAAGACATTAGGGATCGAGGCCAGGGCCAGACAGCTAGGTGTCATTCAGGGCGAGTGTTTGGGGGCCAGGGATGGAGGAGTGGATGGTGCAACTGTATACCCCTAGAACAGGGCCAGAGTGCAGAGTGGAGGCTAGTGGCAGTCAGGAGACAGTGGGAGAGTGATTGGGGAGCTCGGGGGTCACAAAGGGTCCAGAGTGAGGCCCGCGTCATGACTGGGCAGCTGAATGGGGCAAGAACTGGCCCAGGCTCCCCTCGTGGGGAGAGGTCCGGATCAGCAGCTCACTCTTAGTGGGGTCTCACCTCAGGACGGACACCCTGCCGCCCCGAGAAGAGGGAGACTCAGTTTCCACAAATGGGGAAGGGAGAAGGTGGCAAGGAGTGGGGTGGACCGAGGAACAGCAGCCGAGCAGACCAGAGAGCCGTGAGGTGCCTGTGGTGGGGCACATTTCAGGCAGCCCAGCCTTGGGAGAAGGCGGGCAAGGACTGGTCAGAGAAGTGGCTGAATGCAAAGTGCAGTCGCTAGACTAGCAACGAGGAGAAATCAAGGCACACGCCTCTTCCCTTCTGCCCTTCTAGCACGCCTCCCTCTCTCCCCCAGGCTGGTGTCCTCTGTCCAGGCCATCATGGCCTCCACTGCCGGCTACATCGTCTCCACCTCCTGCAAGCACATCATCGATGACCAGTAAGTGCCGCGAGAACCCCCCTGCCCAGGTGCCAGTGGTTGGTGTGTACACATAACCCTGGAAGACCCCACATCTTGGAGGGAACTCTGTCCGTGGTCCCCAAGCCCTTAACTTAGACCTGAGCAAGTTCACTGCAATAACTGCAACTCAACACCCAGGGATAAATTTATCCCGTCCTGTCCTTAAAGGTCAGAACCAGGGGGAGAAGGAGCGGGGATCACAGAGGATCCTCAAAGCGCTTCCTAGTTGGCTTCCAGGTCTCCTGTGTTGTCGTGGGTTCCCCACCTCTTCCCTGCCTTCCACCCCAGGAGGCAGATCCCATTTCCCTCCGGCACCCAGATGGGGTGCCCCCTCCTCATGCCGGGCTCACCCCTCAGGCCCTCCCAGAATCCAGGCATCTGGCACCCACTCCATGCGTGAGGGAGAGGAGAGGAGAAAGATGACACGCACAAGGCCACACACGGCCAGGCAGTGCAGGAGGGGATGAGGGCGAAGAGGCCAAAATGTGGCCAGGCAGCTGCTGCAGTGTCTGGTGCTTGCCAAAAAGGCCCAGAGGTGTGCGGGCAGGAGGCGGAGGACGGAGAGGAGAGGGGCCCTGTCCGTGGTGCTGACGACCGCCCTAGGTGACTCATGGGTGGCCCATTGCAAGTTGCCTTGGAGGTGCCCACAACACCCGCTTCGTAGCTTTCAGCGCCACTTCCCTTCTGTGGCAGCCCCTGAGTCCCAGGGGACATTCTCTGGATGCTTCTGACGGGGGGTGCCCTGTTTCTGTTTGCCTCCTCTTTTTCCGAAGATGAGTTGCCTCTTCTGTGGTGAGGCAGCCGCCCTTCCTGGAAGGGCTTCATCGAGAGGAATTGAGTTAAGTGGCAGCTGCAGAGGACAGTTCTTGGCTTAACTCTTTCTTCACACCCTGCCCAGGGACTTGGCTGCTTCTTGGCCTCTGCCCGCCCCTCCCCACCCCTTCTCCAAGCCGAGCCTGGGATCCAGCACTTCCTCCCCAGCCTTCACATGCAGAGGTCACCTTTTGGTTTCTGCACACCCCCTGCTCCCCAGGCCCCCTGTGTCTGTTCCTGTCCTTCCTCCCTGCTTTAATCCTCAGGTAGGTGGGGAGGATCCGGGTTAATCCAGGGCAGCAGCTGTTCCTACTTCTGAGCACCTAATTGCCAAGAGGGTGGGGATGGGATTTAACACCTCACATGACAGCCCAGGGCCTGGTGGCCCCTCCTGGTCTCCTGCACCAGCCCAGCGGGCCCCATCTCCCATCACCTCTGCTGGGCCTGCATTGTGGGCAGCTTCCTTCCCTGACTCCTCCAGGCCACTTGGACCTTTTCTCCCTGTGTTCTTGCCTCGCATTCTCTGCAGCTGCTCCTCCCCTCTCATCTTCCCCTGCCTCTGGGCCGCAGCTCCACACCACTGCATCACAGTCTCAGGTTCCCTTTTCCCTGGTACCGTCCCTGCTGGAGAATGGGCTGGCTCCACTCACAGGCTGCCTGCCTTAGGCTCCCCATCCTCAGAGGCCTCAGCCCCAACTTCTCCACAGCTCCCTCCACATGCCTCATGTTTGGTGATAACTTCTGGCTGACTCTGCTTTCATCCCTCCTCCCCCATGTGGGGCGGGCTCCCCGGGGCCTACCTCTCTGACCTTCCGCCCCCACCCCAGACCAGTCTCGGGACTACAGGATTTAAGAGAAACTGGCAATGTGCTGACTCCAGAAGAAAAATGCTGTCTTGTCTATTCATCCATTTCTCATTTTTGTTTACTCTCCAAGTACATGGAACTTTCTCTGTCCTTGGCTCCTTTTGTTCTGCATTTTCCCCTTAATGCCTGGCTGTCCCTGAAAAACAACACAAAACAGAAAAGAGATGGGGTCACTTTGGGGCAGGGCAAACAGCGCTGACAAGACCCCTCACTTGCCAACAGGGCCTGTCTCTGATGCCTCTTGGACCTTCTGGGGACAGTGGGGATGGCAGTGAGGGCTGTGGAGCCACTGCCCATGTCCCTTCCTTGGCCAGGTTACCTAGCCCGTCTGTGACTCACTTCCTCACCTGTACGGTGGGGGTTATGGCCACACCTACCTTTTACAGGGTTTTGGGAGGGGTAAATAAGTGCATGCACGGGAAGTTTGGAAGAGCGCCTGCCTCAGGAGGCAGGAATGGGGGTCCACCCCTGTGACCTCTCTCTCCAGCACTCTCACCCATTCAGCTGTTGCTGGTCCTAACCTCATGGTAAGGTTAGGACAAATAACCACGGCAAGGAAGGTCCCACCTGCCTGGCCTGGGCTTATTTTGGCACTCTATCTGTGCCATTTGGTCTGTGGGCATCTTCTGTTCTTTTCTTTTCCCCCCACTTTACTGCAGAGAGAGGAACATGGGTGGGTTCTGAGGCCACAGATTTGAATGCCAGCACCGTCGCTTACTAGCTGCGTGACTGCGTGAGCTTGGGCAAGTTTCTCACCCTCTACCCTCTGGATCCCTCATCTGTACCTGAGACTCCACTGCTGTCCAGGGCTGCCGTGCCAACCCCTGAGATCTGCCCCCGCCCACTGGTGTCCCCTTTCCTCCTTGCTCCCCACACCCACCCACCCCCTCCCCCCTCCTGTCTCTCTGCCCAACAGACACTGGCTGTCCTCTGCCTACACGCAGTTTGCTGTGCCCTACTTCATCTACGACATCTATGCCATGTTTCTCTGTCACTGGCACAAGCACCAGGTCAAAGGGCATGGAGGGGATGACGGAGTGGCCAGAGCCCCGGGCAGCACGTGGGCCATAGCGCGTGGCTACCTGCACAAGGAGTTCCTCATGGTGCTCCACCATGCCGCCATGGTGCTGGTGTGCTTCCCGCTGTCGGTGGTGAGTCCCGGGGAGCTGGGAGGGTGGGGTGTGGGTGGCCTGCTCCTTGGTCCCACTGGTGCTGGCAGGAACCCGGGAAGCCCTGGGTCTGGGTACTGGCAGCCAAGCAGACCCAGCACGTTTCCAGGGAAAGTTGTGGACAGGCAGGGTTCACTGAGCACCAGCCCAGGGGCACCAGGGTGTGGGGGCAGCCTGGCCCCGGGCTGGACAGTGCCCGGCTGCAGGACTTTGGATCTGTGGTTGCACATCTCTGAGCCTCAGTTTCCTCACCTGTTACAGAAGGAACACGGTCTTTCTGCAGGACTGTGAGAGGGATGCAGCCAAGTCATGCACCTGCTCCCGCACCCAGGTGTTCTTTCTCTTTTTTCTCTTTCCAAGACGGAGTCTCTCTGTGTCACTCAGGCTGGAGTGCAGTGGTGTGATCTTGGCTCACTGCAACCTCCGCCTCCTGAGTTCAAGTGATTCTCCCACCTCAGCCTCCCCAGTAGTGGGGATTACAGGTGCCCGCCAACATGCCTGGCTAATTTTTTTGGTATTTTTAGTAGAGACGGGGTTTCTACTGTTGGTCAGGCTGGTCTCAAACTCCTCACCTCGTGATCCACCTACCTCGGCCTCCCGAAGTGCTGGGATTACAGGCGTGAACCACCGCGCCCAGCCCTGCACCCAGGTGTTTTGACATTCAGAGTCAAGCATCTCCAAAAGTGACAGAGGGGAAAGAGGAAGGGTGGGGGCTGCCTAAGAACCCAGGGGGAGCCCCAGCTCCTCACCTTCCTGCCTGTGTGCTCAGGTGTGGCGACAGGGGAAGGGAGACTTCTTTCTGGGTTGCATGTTGATGGCAGAGGTCAGCACACCCTTCGTCTGCCTTGGCAAGATCCTCATCCAGGTGAGTGAGCACGGGAGGGTGCGGGAGCCCGATGGGGGGGCACGGGTAAGGGAGGGACCTTCAGGGTTGCTGCCAAGGGCTCTGGCCCCTTCGTCATTCCCCCCCTCACCCCTTGCCTTTTGAGCTCGTGCTTGTGTCCTGGCAAAGTGTCCGGTCTGGGAGGAGCTGCCTGCTAGGGTTGCAGGGAGGCAGGGAGAGGGCCAAGGGGGGCCGAGCCCTTCTGCCGCGGCGGCCACGGTGTCCGTGTTCCCTCAGTACAAGCAGCAGCACACGCTGCTGCACAAGGTGAACGGGGCCCTGATGCTGCTCAGCTTCCTGTGCTGCCGGGTGCTGCTCTTCCCCTACCTGTACTGGGCCTACGGGCGCCACGCCGGCCTGCCTCTGCTGGCCGTGCCCCTGGCCATCCCCGCCCACGTCAACCTGGGCGCTGCGCTGCTCCTGGCCCCTCAGCTCTACTGGTTCTTCCTCATCTGCCGCGGGGCCTGCCGCCTCTTCTGGCCCCGCTCCCGGCCACCCCCGGCCTGCCAGGCCCAGGACTGAGGCCGGGGACCAGGACCCTCCCCCTCCCCACCCCCACCCCCGTGGAGACAGGGCTCTGGGGCTGATGGCTGGGGGTGGGAGCCGGGGTCCTCTTGCCCGGACAACCCCAGGACTGACGATGACCCTGAAAGGGAAGAGGCCCCACACCTCGGGGACTGAGTGAGGGGAGAGAGGGAACCTCTTCTCCTTACTGTGCCCCCTTCCTGCACACCCCTGCGCGGGAGGAGGGGAGGGGGCACCACCTCCCACCCACTGAGGGCAGGAGGGCTTGTGGGGAGGGAGACCGACAGGGTTTCAAGGGGACCAGGAGTCAGAATGTGGGGAGGCGCCTCTGCCAAGGCCATCCCAGCCCCTCTGCTGCCACCCCCCAGGGCTCCCCATCACCCGAGAGGAGAGGATGCCCCAACTAACCTGGCTGGCCCTCGGGCCTCCCGAGCGGCCAGCTGCAACCACGGCTCCTCTCCAGGGTAGGCCAGCTTGAGGAATCTTATTTATTTTATTTATTTACCCAAATTTGAACTAGTCTGTTGGGTTGAGGGGTTGAGGGAGAGAGGTGGCTGCTACCCCCAAGCCTTCCCAGTGCTGACAACCCCGGGGGCAGGCGAGGGCGCCCAGTCCCTCACCATCGGCTGCACATCGCGCCCTCGGGCCCTGCCATGTCCCTGGTGCTACTGACCTCTCAAGGCTTCCTCCAATCTGGGGTCGGGGGACCCTGGGAGGTGCTTTACAGACCGCTAATAAAAGACGATCTGCGTGAACGCCACCAAGGCCCTCACCATCAAGTTCTTTGGGGCTGGGAAGGGAGGAGGTGGGGGGCTTGGGCTGTGGGAAACGCACAGGGAGTGGGATACCCAGCTCCTCGCTGGGCAGTCAGGGAGGAGAAGGGTGGGGAACTTTTGCTCATCGACAGGAGAGGAGGTAGGTGTGGGTGCTCAGGTTGAGTCCGGGGCCCCTGTCCGGCTCTTTAGGCCCCTTTCTGGAAGTTTCTGTGGGGCATGGAGATCAGAGGGGAGAGGTCACACCCTGCCCCACTAGAACTGGGCTCTCCAGCTGCTCCCAAGGAAGGTGGTGGTGGGTGGGGTTGGAGGAAGGGGGCAGGCCTTACATGTGGGTGCAGAACTGGAAAAGGAGAAAGAAGACGACCACCACCAGGAAGCCTACCAGGATGTGATGGAAGAGCCCGGGGCTGGAACCTGCTAAACAAGCAGGACCCTTAATTCCCCTCTGATGGCCCAATGGAAGGGTCGGGGGCTGCTCTCCTCCAGGCCCTGGCGGGGAGGGAGGTCCCTTCTCTAGCTGGTTCATACCTGAGTTAACAAACATGATGGGTTTCTCTCCAATAAACTGGGCCACAGCCAGGAGCCTGGCTTGGTCTGAGTCTGGATAATCGAAGAAGTCAGGCCTGTCTAAGAAGCGCGGAGACTCTGTCCCCAGGGCTGACGCCGTGGCACGCTTGGGTCTGGGTACTAGGATCCAAGCAAAGTCTGTGACAACAGCCAAGCTGACCCCTGCCTTTATCTCTGAAGGCTGAAGCTGGCTTGGGACCCTATGAGACCACCCAGCCTTATTGTGGAGGCTGTGGAAGGTCTTGATTTCCCTCAGGGTCAGCTGGGTGCACCACGACAAGGCCCATGGTTGTCGGGGAGTGGGTGGGACCAGCAGGATGGGAGAGAAGAGTGGAGAGAAAAGGAGAAGGTGCAGGGTTGGATTCCCAGTCCCTAAGTGGGCATCACCCTTTATGCCCCCAGAGCTGCCTGCCTTCCCACTGCTCCCAAGACAGCTTCTCACCAGTGTCTATGGCCCCTATTGCAGCCAGCCACACCCACACCAGCACCCATGGCCACAACCTCATGACTGCTATCATGAGGTGGGGGCTCTGTGATGTCACAGCCCAGAGCTGTTCTGATGGCACTCTGGGGTGAGGGGAGGAAGTGCTAGGAGCTGGGACCCCTTCCCCATCCCTCACCCTCATCAGAAGAGGAGAGGAGAGGAGAGATTGGGACCAGTCTTCATCCTCTGGAATGTTGCTGATGATAAAGCCATAATGGTGGCAGCCCCAGCGTTTACAAAGAGGAGGGCTGCGGCAGGGCCATCTTGCTGAAAGCCAGAACTAAAGGAAGCTGCGTTTAGACAACAGGCACAATTTGGGGTGGTGGCACCGGGCCACACACCTCCAGTTACCCCTTGGATCAACCACAGGTAGCATTTGTTTTATTTATTTTCATTTTTTTGGAGACAGGGTCTCTGTCACCCAGGCAGGAGTGCAGTGGCACGATCTTGGCTCACTACAGCCTCCGCCTCCCGGGTTCAAGTGATTCTCCTGCCTCAGCCTCCTGAGTAGCTAGGATTACAGCTGCCTGCCACCACACCCGGCTAATTTTTGTATTTTTAGTAGAGACAGGGTTTCACTGTGTTGGTCAGGCTGGTCTCGAACTACTCACCTCAGGTGATCTGCTTGCCTTGGCCTCCCAGAGTGCCCGGCCTATTTTATGTCTTTTCAGAGACAGGGTCTCACTCTGTCACCCAGGCTGGAGTACAGTGGTATGATCACTGCAGCCTGGAACTCTTGGCCTCAAGTGATCCTCCCAAGTCAGCCTCCTGAGTAGCTAGGACCACAAGCATGTGCCACCATGCCTGGCTAATCTTTGCATTTTTTGTAGAGATGAGGTCTTGTTATGTTTTTTTGTTTTTTGTTTTTTTTTGAGACGGAGTCTCGCTCTGTTGCCCAGGCTGGAGTGCAGTGGCCAGATCTCAGCTCACTGCAAGCTCCGCCTCCCGGGTTTACGCCATTCTCCTGCCTCAGCATCCCAAGTAGCTGGGACTACAGGCGCCCACCACCTCGCCCAGCTAGTTTTTTGTATTTTTTAGTAGAGACGGGGTTTCACCGTGTTAGCCAGGATGGTCTCGATCTCCTGACCTCGTGATTCGCCCGTCTCGGCCTCCCAAAGTGCTGGGATTACAGGCTTGAGCCACCTCGCCCGGCCGAGGTCTTGTTATGTTGTCCAGGCTGGTGTCGAACTCCTGGCCTCAGATGATCCTCCAGCTTCAGCCTCCCAAAGTGCTGGGATTACAGGCGTTAGCCACCATGCCCAGTGGGTAGCATTTATTTGACACCTATTACTATGCTGGCTGGACCCCATTTATGGCCAAGTTCCTTGCACAAATTGGTTCATTTACCCTTGCACTGACCCTCAGAGGCAGGTACTCTGGTTTTTTTTGTTTTTTTTTTGTTTTTGAGACGGGGTCTTGCTCAATCGCCCAGGCTAGAGTGCAGTGGCACGATCTCGGCTCACTGCAAACTCTGCCTCCCGGGTTCACGCCATTCTCCTGCCTCAGCCTCCCGAGTAGCTGAGACTACAGGCGCCCACCAAAACGCCTGGCTAATTTTTTTGTATTTTTAGTAGAGACGGCGTTTCACGGTGTTAGCCAGGATGGTCTCTATCTCCTGACATCGTGATCTGCCCGCCTCGACCTCCCAAAGTGCTGAGATTACAGGCGTGAACCACTGCGCCCGGCCATTTTTTTTTTTTTTTTTTGAGATGAAGTTTCACTCTGTTGGCCAGACTGGAGGGCAGAGGCACAATCTCAGCTCACTGCAACCTCCATCTCCTGGGTTCAAGCGATTCTCCTGCCTCAGACTCCTGAATAGTGGGATTACAGACACGCACCACCACTGTCCGGCCAATTTTTGTATTTTTAGTAGAGATGGGGTTTCACCATGTTGGCCAGGCTGGTCTTGAACTCCTGAACTCAGAAGATCTGTCCGCTTCGGCCTCCCAAAGTGTTGGGATTACAGGCATGAGCCACCAAGCCCAGCCCAGAATCAGGTACTCTTGCCTCCCTTATACACCGGAGGAAATCATGGCACAGAGGGGAAATGTAGTGTGGGCAATGCGCACTTCCTGGGGGCTGGGGGTTCCTCTCTGAGGCTCCCCCTCGCATCGTGTCCGCAGATCCAGGGGCACAGGGCTCTCCCCATCCTCCCCCGACCCTGCCTCAGTGCTCAGCTGGGAACTACCCTGGGGTTAGGAACCGAGAGGAGTAGCAGGCTTCTCCCACTAGGTGGCAGCAGCGTCCGCGCCTGAGTCCCCGCTCCCACCCTAGGGAAGGCGCTGCCGGGCGGACTCCTGGGCCTCCTCTCGCATCTTCCACAGGTTGCATCTGAGGCTGCAGGAAAACGTATGGCTGGGAATGGCCGTCGGGGGTTGGTCAGAGGAAGTCCCTAGGCCCTTTCCGAGGCACATCTCTTGGCCATTCACGCATCCTTCGCAGACTCCGCTCTCTGCACCTCCGTTTCCTCTTCTGTGGCCGGCGGCTCCCCTGTGGCCACCCCATCGCCCGTCTCTGCCACCTCCCAACAGCCATTTCCACTCCTGCGGTCCCACACCAGCTAAGGAGAGCTCCCTTCTGATTGGCAGGTGGACCTGTCTGTCACGGGCATGTTCCATCCCGCCCAAGCCCAAGGACACTCCAGGGTCTCCTTAGTTTCACGACGAAGATGCGTGCTCATCGGACTCTGCAGACCCAGTGTCGCGACTTCGCCCAAAGCCAGGCGTGTATCTGTGCGCGTGTGAGGTGCTCTGCAGCAACTCTATGCAGAGAACAGGAGGGCTAGGACTCGGGGTACTTGCCATGAACCGCTTCGAGTTCCTAAACAAGTAAAAAGCCCAGAGAGACAAAAAAAAAAAGGGGGGGCGGCGGGGCAGGGGTGGGGAAGGAGGGAAACCAATATCTATGGGACTGGCTCACGTGGGCTGCTTCCCCTGTGCTGCGCTGATGGCTTCCTTTTTTTTTTCTTTGAGACAAGATATTGCTCTGTCTGTCACCCAGGCTGGAGTGCAGCCTCGACCTCCTGGGCTCAAGCGATCCTCTCACCTCAGCCTCCCAAGTAGCTGGCACGACGGGCGTGCACCACCACACCTGCTTATTTTTTGTTTTGTTTTGTTTTTTTGAGATGGAGTTTCGCTCTGTCGGCCATCCTGGAGTGCAGTGGCGTGATCTTGGCTCACTGCAACTTCCGCCTTCTTAGTTCAAGCGATTCTCCTGCCTCAGTCTCCCGAGTAGCTGGGATTAAAAGCACGTGCCACCATACCTGGCTAATTTTTGTAGTTTTTTTTAGTAGAGACGGGGTTTCATCATGTTGGCCAGTCTGGTCTCAAACTCCTGACCTCAAGTGATCTGCCCTCCCTGGTCTCCTAGAGTGCTGGGATTACAGGCATGAGCGACTGTGCCCAGCCTACTTATTTTTTTCTTTGTAGAGACGGGGTCTTGCTATGTTGCCCAGGCTGGTCTCAAACTTCCGGGCATAAGTGATCCTCCCACTCTGGCCTCCCAAAATGCTGGGATGACAGTTGTGAGCCGCCACGCAGGTCACTTATAAGAAAGAGGAAGGGATTTATCCAAAGCCACAGGGCATGTGAGAGGCAGCAGAAGGGACTCAGTAATGTGGTTTTTGGGTCAGGCGCGGTGCTCACGCCTATGATCCCAGCACTTTGGGAGGCCGAGATGGGGTGGATCACTTGAGGCCAGGAGTTCGAGACCAGCCTGCCCAACATGATGAAATCCCGACTCTACTAACAATCCAAAAAAAGGCTGGGCGTGGTGGCTCACACCTATAATCCCAGCACTTTGGGAGGCCAAGGCGGGTGGATCACCTGAGGTCAGGAGTTCAAGACCAGAGTGACCAATATGGTGAAACCCCATCTCTACTAAAAATACAAAAATTAGCCAGGCATGGTAGCATGCACCTGTAGTCCCAGTTAC